AGCGGGACAATGCAGAGTCTCAGCAGGCTCCTACAGACACCGCCGAAATAGATCCTACACTTCATAAAGATGATGACTGCCTATAAAACTCTCAACGTTTGCACTCTCTGATGTTTCCAAATTATTATAAATACTGTGGTGTCTAAGACTCAATTATGGCTTCTTTCATACGGCTTTGTGGAGCAGGGCATATGTCGGGAAGAACCACAAGACACCCGAGTACAGGGAAACCAACCCCGATGCCCATCTGAAGCGTCATGAAAGCACAGTTTGGGCAAAATTCACTCCGTCCAGGGCCTGAGAGGGACCTGACTCATTGCTCAGATCTTACGCTGCCCTTGTTCTCAAAAAAAGAGCACACATGAAACCTGCCTCTGTTTACATTTAGTATTTTAAAGACAGCTATGCTTCAGGCTATATTTTCCCCAAATCATTTTATCTTTTTATGTTTATGGAGCACATACATCTCTCTGCCACGCTGGGCTCCCCGTGACCACAGGCACCTCTCAGGGACCCATTAGCACGGATAGAGTGGAGCTCAAGGACTTGTAAGATGGAACTGGCTTGTCTCCAGCCAGCGTGGAGCACGGGCAGAGCGCGCTCCGAGCCGCCTTCGCTCTCCTGTAGAGGCATGTCCCAAAAGGGATTACACTTTAACAGAGGTCTAGATATTTCCTCAACGGTGCTTAGATATGTGGTTCCCAAGGTCCACATTATTAGTCATAAAAACAAACAGTCTAACCTCTGGCACACAAAAATACCCCCGAGTGCATTGGAGTCCCTGGTGACACGGGACGGGGATACAGCCCGCTGCCGCCGGGGGGTGGCAATCTGAAAAGCTGCCACATAAGCAAGTTAAAAACCCAAAATTTTACGGGTGAATTAAAGTTACAAGAAGAGCCTAGACAGTTTATGTTGAGCAATTCCTGCTTCTGTTATAAGTCAGAACATGTATGCTGGATAAAGGTGTAGTTGGAAAGCAGGATTTTAAAATGAAAAAAAAAAAAAAGAGATCTTTTATGAAGACTTACTAAAAGAGTATTAATTAGAAAGAAAACTCAAATCATTTTCTGCAGAAAGACAAGATGAAAACAACACAACATGGGCGTGAATGGAAATGCAGATATGTCATTCCACTTCCCGAGTTACTTCAAAGTCAAAGAGGATCTGCCATGTTGTGTCATGCGTCAAGACAAACAAAATACTCCCTGAAGAACTATTACCAATCACAGGCACAAACATCTCCAGGCAAGACTCAGATACAGAAAATGTCTAGCTCTCTCCTCTCTGCACAGAAGTTCTTTTCCTATCAAACTTTGTAAAAAAAAAGTGATTTATTTAGAGTAACTGCTTCAGACTGACAATTCCTTAGAGGCAGCACCCCTCATGGAGTGTCTGAGCCAGCTGTGCCACCATCCCACAAGTGTCACATGGCAAGCACAGAACCCCACCGCCGTGCCCTCTGTCTCCAAATACTACCCACTGTCCTTGTGCCATGCCAGATAAAGTGGAATTATTTTGCTAAGCAAGTGTGAAAATTACAGGAGTAATGCTGCATTTCCCGCAACTTAAAAAAATCTTCTCCACGTTAAAGGAGTTGAGAATCTCCCATAGGAAGTATTTAAGCAGAGGGATAATCACCACAGCAATCAAACCCAGGACAGAGTCCTTCAGGAGCCTTCCCTATCCGCAGGTTCGGCTCAGGTTTCCTGCTGCAAGGAGGCAATATTTTATGTAACACAAGAGCAGCCAACACTTTTAGGTAATTCGCAGTGGTTTCCCAAGTAGGTAAAAACCAGGGGACCAAACATTAGCTACAGGAACAGAATTTTTTTTTTTACACCTCAGATCGCGCTTAAAGCAACCTGACAAACTTGTTGCAGATTCTCTACTGCATGTCATGTCTCTGCTCCTCTGCAGCGGTTATTTCTGACTTCTTCATCCACATTTTTTCCTCTCACCATTTCCCCACTCTACCAGCATCATAACAAGGCCTGCGACCTCAACGTGCCTCTGATCCTAGAAGTAATTCATTATTTGGGCAAAATCAAGTAGCTAGAGAAAGTTAAAGAAACCATAAGCTAATGATGAAGGAGAGAACTTCCCACAGGTCTGAGATAGTTCAAGTTACTGCCACACATGGCAGTAGTCTCCATCAAGCAGCTCCATGATATTTCATAGAATCATAGACTCATAGAATGGTTTTAGTTGGAAGAGACCCAGTGCCACCCCCTGCCCTGGGCAGGGACACCTCCCACCAGCCCAGGTTGCTCCAAGCCCCCTCCAACCTGCCCTTGAACCCCTCCAGGGATGGGGCAGCCACAGCTTCTCTGGGCAACCTGAGCCAGGCTCTCACCACCCTCACAGCAAGGAATTTCTTTCTGGTGTCTCATCTCAATCTCCCCTCTTCCAATTTAAAACCGTTCCCCCTTGTCCTGTCACTGCACTCCCTGATCCAGGGTCCCTCCCCAGCTCTCCTGGAGCCCCTTCAGATATTGGAAGGGGCTCTAAGATCTCCCCGGAGCCTTCTCTTCTCCAGGCTGAACAACCCCAGCTCTCTCAGCCCCCCCTCACAGCAGAGGGGCTCCAGCCCTCCATATTTGTGCTGGTTCCGTAGTGATGGCACCTTTAATAACAGCTGGGATGGGGCAGAATCTCCCTTAAAAGCACATTATTGCAATGTCATTGGGGATGGAGGGTTTGCACCGACTCCTACTGGGATGCAGACAGTAGTTTGGAGTGAGCACAGGGCTTTTAAAATAACAAGATAACCCCAAAACAAGTGATAGGGGGGTGGAAGAGGAAGGAGACCAGCACGATTTCCCATTTTCAACAGGGGGCCGGGGGATGCAAACACTATTAAACGTGTGACAGAAAAACCAAAGTTGAATCCTGGGGAACTTAAAAAGAGAAACCTAAAACCTGCTTTTAGAGATTCTGAACTTTCTTTGTGAATTAAATGGAAATTTTAAACTCGGCTAATTAATGTGCTTCTAAGTCTACCCATTTTAAATTATGGGGTTTTTTTTCTAATTTGATCATTCTGTTTATCATTAATTTGAATCTCTCTGAAGCATGTTTATGTCTGCTGCTTTTCCTGAGACATGTTTCCACAACCAGAAACACCCTATGTTTGATTAATACTCAGTAAAAACATAGTCATTTTCTGAATGTACCCTGAAGGCTGATAATCTGTTTAAAAACAAAAATTCCAGTTTAAAAATAAACATAGGTGTTAAATTCAATGAGCTGATTTACACTTGTCAAGAAACAAAACCAGTATTTTACCAGTTTTCACTGCATACCTTTACAGAAATTCTGACGTTATAATTTCTATATATAATAATTTATCTGTAAAATGATGTAATTTGTGGCTGTAAGACTGAAACTGTTGATGAACTACTAGCAACTATGAGACCTGCAGAAGGAAGCACTTGGAAAAAGATGGGTGTTAACACATGCATCTTGGCTAAGTTACAAAAAAAAAAGGATTTTTTTTTAAATTTATGTAATGTCTTCTATGATTTTTAAATAGACAAAATATGTTACTTCCTGTCCTGGATTGTTTCATGATGTTATTGTGAAAGGCTAATGGCTGTTGTGTTTATTTCACCATAGAAGTGTGTTCATTTCACTGGTGGATAAAAGTTTTGCAATCCTGCTGACTGGATGGCTTAATATAAATCTTAATTATTCACCTGACTTGCAACAAAAATATTTTGCTGCGTTAATTATTTTAAAATTGGGATTCTGTTGCTGCAGGTTTGTGGGTTTTTTTTATTATACAGGGCTTAAAAGCCCAAGTCAGGGAGAAAAAAAAAAAAAAAAAAGAAAAAAAAGATGATCAGAACAGACAAACAGAATGGATCAGGTTGGAAGAGACCTTAAAGCCCATCCAGTGCCACCCCCTGCCCTGGGCAGGGACACCTCCCACCAGACCAGGTTGCTCCAAGCCCCCTCCAACCTGGCCTTGAACCCCTCCAGGGATGGGGCAGCCACAGCTTCTCGGGGCAACCTGGCTCTCACCACCCTCACAGCAAGGAATTTCTTCCTAGTATCTCACCTTAATCTCCCCTCTTTCAGTTTAAAACCCTTCCCCCTCCTCCCATGACTCCCCTCCCTGATCCAGAGTCCCTCCCCATCTCTCCTGGAGCCCCTTGAGGGACTGGAAGGGGCTCCATGGTCTCCCCGGAGCCTTCTCTTCTCCAGGCTGAACCCCCCAACTCTCTCAGCCTGTCCTCACAGCAGAGGGGCTCCAGCCCTCTGGACAGATAGCAGATACCGCAATAAATGAGTTGAAGTCCACAAGTAGACTACTTTAATGAAAACACATGAAGTAAATAAGGGAAATATAGAACAAAGATAAGAGCAAGAGAAACATGAGCCATTGAAACTATGCTACTGAGTGATGAGGTGGTCGGGACAGTGGGTTGTACCCGTTACCAGTTTCCCCCCGCACTCAGAGCAGGGGTGCCCGCCATCCCGTGCTGCCGGGGGTCTGCCGGGTCCCGGCCCGCCCGCTGCCCGCGGAGCCCCAGAGGAGACAAGGGATCCTGAAGGGAACCCGCGTCCAGGCCTGGGGCCTGCGAGCCCTGACACCGCCGTCCCAAGGTCAATTGCAATGAGCGGGCCCACCAACCCTTTCGGTAAGGGCTTATGCCTCAGAAACTATTAGTTAAGGTTAATTACTCTTAAAAAACCAAATTCCTGTAGGAGCAGAGGGCGGGCCGGGCGCAGAATCCCTCACTTCTCCGCCCGGGGGCCCAGGCCGGCAGCGCACCTCACCCGCTCCACGCGGCGCCGGTGCTGCCCCCTGCCCGGCCCCGAAGCTGCCGGCGGCGGAAGGGCCCCGTGCCGCCTCCGCGGGGCAGCCGCCGAAGAACGGAGCTCCAACGGCAGCGGCATCCCCCCCACCGCTCCTCACGGCCGGCCCGGGCCAACATGGCGGCGGGCTGTGGCGGCGGCGAGGGGCGGGGCCCGGTGACGTATGGCGCTGGCCGCGGCCGGGGGGCGGAGGGGCAGGGAGCAGTCCGCCGCCGTCCCGGCAGCCATAGCGACGACGCTACCTGCGGCGAGGGCGGCCGGCAGGGGGGCGGACAAAGGCGGCCCCGGAGGGGGTGAGTTCGGGGC